TTTTTTTTGAGACAGTCTCACTCTGTCACCAGGCTGGAGTGCAGTGGTGCGATCTTGATCTCGGCTTGCTGCAAACTCTGACTCCCTGGTTCAAGGGATCCTTCTGCCTCAGCCTCCCAAGTAGCTGGGATTACAGGCAGGTGTAACCACGTCCAGCTGATTTTTGCATTTTTAGTAGAGAGGGAGTCTCACCATGCCGGCTAGGATAGTCTTTTTTTTTTTTTTTATTTTAATTTATTTTTTTTTTTTTGAGACAGTCTCACTCTGTTGCCAGGCTGGAATGCAGTGGCACAATCTCAGCTCACCGTAATCCCCACCTCCCAGGTTCAAGTGATTCTCCTGCCTCAGCCTCCTGAGTAGCTGGGACTGTAGGTGCACACCACCACACCCAACTAACGTTTGTATTTTTTAGTAGAGATGGGGTTTCACCATGTTGGTTAGGATGGTCTCAATCTCTTGACTTCGTGATCCACCTGCCTTGGCCTCCCCAAGTGCTGGGATTACAGGCGTGAGCCACTGTGCCGGGCTAACGCTTTCCCTTTTTAACCAAGAAAGAGCAGGTGTTAGAGTTCAAAGCCTTGGGCAGGCAGTCGTATTTGGTTAGATTTCCACAACAGTGTCTTTTTTCCGTCTTTAATTTTTAGTAGAGACAGAGTCTAACTATGTTGCCCAGGCTGGTCTCATGCTCCTAGGCTCAAGTAATACTCTTGCCTTGGTCTTCCAAAATGCAGGGATTATAGGTGTGACTTGATTTAAAGAAACACATTACATAAGAGATAATTCTGGGGGCCCTCAGGTGAAGCATACACGGAAAGTGGGTGCTCTAATGACTGGTTTTATTTCCTGTATTTATTTTGAATGACAGGCTTTCGGGAAATGCTGGTTCATGCTATTTTGGAAGGGGAGATATTAGAGCCTACAACAGAAAAAGTCAAAAGTTATATGGAACAAGAAATGTAGTTCTTGCTTCACAGATCACAGTTATACCCTTTTAAATCCATATGATGCCTTCATGTGAATTAGGAAAAAGGATCTTAACCCTAAGCCATTTCATCTAAAGAAAAACTGCCATAATACACAGATTATTTTATGTCAACTGACTTTACTGCCATCTGCTGGGAAGTTGTAATAATACAAATATCCATATACGATGGCTAGGATGTCATCAGCACCTCCTTTAATACGGTGTCCTTGAGCAGTGTGCAACTTGCTCAACTGTACATAACCCGGACAGTCCCCCCACCCCACTATATTCCAGTCTCACCTTGAGCTTTGGCAACCGCTTGATGGTTTTCAGAGGTCGTAGCACCCGGAGGACTCGGAGGGATTTAATCGTGTTGATATCTTTTCCTTTGCTATTGCCACTGTGGAAGAATGTTAGGGTGGGGAGAAGGGAAGAGAGGAAGCAGAGGTGAGGCTGGGTAGGGGGCAGCCCACAGGTCCACAGGCCCCTACCCTCCCAGGCCTAGAAGTCTGGGGTGAGCTTGGCACAGCCCTGCCCTTCCTGGTGAAGAGAGGTCCATTTCACCTGTTAAGCTCGGGCTCGAGAGCCAGTAAGTAGGTGGCTTTTTGTGTTTCTGGTCCCGGGGTTGGCTGAGGGCCCTTTGTCGTCTGGCTGGGCCTGATCAGTTAAGGGGGTGGCCCTGAGACCCAGTACAAGTGGGTTCTAGGGGGTTGGCTGATTCCCCCCGTTTTCTTCCCAGCTTTTTTTTTTTTTTTTAAGCAAGGTCTGGCTCTGTCACCAAGGCTGGAGTGCAGTGGCACGATCTCAGCTCACTGCAACCTTTGCCTCCTGGGCTAAAGCCATCCTCCCACCTCAGCCTCCCAAGTAGCTGGGACTACAGGCACACGCTACCGTGCCTGGCTAATTGTTTTTTTTTTTTTTTTTTTTTTTTTTTTTTTTTTTTGTAGAGACGGGGTTTTGCATTGTTGCTCAGGCTGGTCTCAAACTCCTGAGCTTGAGCAATCTGCCCACCTCGCCCTCCCAAAGTGTTGGGCTGACAGGCGTGAGCCTCCACGCCTGGTCACACCCATTTTCAAAAAAGCCCTTGGTCCAGCAGTTCAGTGGCTCCTGTGTATTCTTTTTAAACGTGGTATCGTGGGCTCTTAAAAAATGAGACTTCCTCCCCCTTCCAATGGGATTCTGGAAGATCTTAAAGTGGCCCTTATACCAAATCTCCCCTCCCCCACCGTATTCCGAGCCCGCAGGAGAGAAAATAACATGGTCTACTCCTTTTAGATGCTGACGTGGCTGCTGCCACAGTCTCTGCTGCATTGTTCCACGGGGCTCTGAGCCCATCTCTGGCAGAGAGGACCATGCAGAATTCAGTCCAAGGCCTGTTGGAACTGAGCTTAGCAATGCAGACCCCAGAGATGCCATGACACCCTTGGCGACCATGACTCAGGTCCCCCAAGAGGAGGGTACTGGGTGGGACCATGAATAGCTTGTGGTTCATGGCACTCATCACCCATCCAGTTGCTCAAACCAGAACCCTCCTGAGGGTCATGTTCAACATCATGCTCAACTCCTTGCCTTCTATCCCCCATCCCTAGTGGGTCACCTTCCTGGATGTCCCGCCACCTGTCCGTTCCTGGCTGCCATCAGGTCAGACCCCTGTCACCCATCTCCCAACTGTCTCCACATTCCCTGTCTCTCTCCATCTTTTTTTTGTTTGAGATGGAGTCTCACTCTGCCGTTCAGGCTGGAGTGCGGTGGCACGATCTTGGCTCACTGTAACCTCTGCCTCCTGGGTTCAAGCAGTTCTCCTGCCCCAGCCTGCTGAATAGCTGGGACTACAGGCATGTGCCACCACGCCAGGCTAATTTTTTGTATTTTTAGGTTTCATCATGTTGGCCAGGATGGTCTAGATCGCCTGACTTTGTGATCCACCCACCTCGGCCTCCCAAAGTGCTGGGATTATAGGCATAAGCTACCGCACCCGGCCCTTCCTCCACCGTTCATGCACAGTGACCTTGTCACTCTGTCTCCTGCTCAGAATTCTTCTGGAGCACCTGAATTCTTAGAAGAGCAGCTGCAAACTTCTGGGCATGGCATTTGAGGCTCTTCGAAACCTAGCCCAACTTACCTTCATCTTCCGTTCCCATTATGGCTACGTATCTCCAGCCCCAGCCACAATTCTTTTGCCTCTGTCCATTTCTGCATATACTATTCCTGCTGCTAGAAATGCCCTTCCTCCGCTTCCCTAGTCACAGAACTACCTGGTCCCCAAAGTCCAAATTTCAAGTTGCTCCTTCAGACAGTCTTCCCTGACTGCCTGCCTCTGGCTCCTACCAGCTCCTATGTCCTATGTGCTGTTTCGGAGTTAATGTTTGTTTCTTTCTCCTTTGTCTTTTTTTTGGAGATGGAGTCTCACTCTTGCCAAGGCTGGAATGCAGTGGTACAATCTCAGCTCACTTCAACCTCCACCTCCTGGGTTCAAGCAATTCTCTGCCTCAGTCTCCTGAGTAGCTGGGATTACAGGCACCTGCCACCATGCCTGGCTAATTAAAAAAAAAAATGTTTAATAGAGACGGGATTTCACCATCTTGGTCAGGCTGGTCTTGAACTCCTGACCTTGTGATCCACCCACCTCAGCCTCTCCAAGTGCTGGGGCTACAAGTGTGAGCCACTGATCTTTCTTTCTTTCTTCAGTCTCTGGTTTGAGACAGAAAACTCTTCAAAGGCTTACATCGCACTTTATTCTTCTCTGTGTTCATTTTCCCTTTAATCATTTTTTTTTTTTTTTTTTTTTTTTGAGATGAAGTCCTGCTGTATTGTCCAGGCTGGAGTGCAGTGGTGCGATCTCGGCTCACTGCATCCTCCACCTCCTGGGTTCAAGTGATTCTCCTGCCTCAGCCTCCTGAGTAGCTGAGTCACCACACCTGGCTAATTTTTGTATTTTAGTAGAGACAGGATTTCACCATGTTGGCCAAGCTGGTCTCGAACTCCTGACCTCAAGCAATCCACTGGCCTCGGCCTCCCGAAGTGCTGGGGTTACAGGTGTGAGCCACTGCGCCCGTCCGTTTCCCCTTTAATCTTGATCCCTGTCCCAGCCCCTAGCCTGCACCTGGCGTGTGGTGTCAGGACACCTGGATACCTCCAGGTTGAGTCCTTGAGTGGGAAGGTCACCTAGCAAACATCTCCCTACAGTGACCTCCTGCGTCATGAGCAGAACTGCCCCAGAGACCCCCAACACGATGTGTCTTGGTATCAAGGAGCAAAAACATCACTCTTCACACCATTTGTTTTTTTTTTTTTTTTTTTGAGACAGAGTCTTGTTCTGTCACCAGGCCCCAGGCTGGAGTGCAGTGGCACGATCTCGGCTCACTGCAACCTCCGCCTCCTGAGTTCAAGCAGTTCTCCTGCCTCAGCCTCCCGAGTAGCTGGGACTACAGGTGCTCGTTACCATGCCCAGCTAATTTTTGTATTTTTTTAGTAGAGACGGGGTTTCACCATGTTGGCCAGGATGGTCTTGGTCTCTTGACCTCGTGATCCACCTGCCTCGGCCTCCCAAAGTGCTGGGATTACAGGCGTGAGCCACCATGCCCAGCCACCATTTGCTTTTTAAAGGACTCTTTTCTCCCAGTTTTCAGGGAACAAAGACAAGGGCTGTATTTTAGCCTGCTAGTCACAGACATACTCCGGACATTTTTTTTTTTTTTTCTTTTTAAAACCAGCATCATCATCATCTCAAGGCCAAGCCTCCAAGTGCAAGACACATGTTGGACAGTCACTGAGATAATTTTAAGCAGAACAGGGGCATGGATTGAATGGATCACAGAGGGACGTAACATTTTCTTTTCCACGTATCTTTCAGACGTTCTGCTTGTGAGAGAAAGGGAGCCTCAGGCAGATGCTACCAGGTCTTTAACACCTCCGTAACACTTAATAATTTCTCTTTTAACAGAGCCCAGCTTGAAGGCAGCAACATTGTCTGAGTTCTGTTAGATTTACTTTTGCAGTTGCAGATTTATCCAAGCTTAGCAATACTGGTTGTGAGTAGATAACATAGTTTCCTTTTTTTCAATTATTATTATTTTTTTTTTTATTAAAAAGATGGGATCTCACTCTCACCCAGGCTGGATGGAGTGCAGTGGTGCGATCACAGCTCACCGCAGCCTCCAACTCCTGGGCTCAAGCGATCCTCCAGCCTCAGTCTCCCAAATGGCTGGGACTAGAGGCATGAGCCGCTGCACCTGGCTAAAGCTTCCTGTTGAAATTGAAGTTTGGAATATGTGTTGGTGGAAAAAAACGTCAAACAACGGTACCTCCAGGTTGCACATGGACTGGCTAAAATCTTGATGTCCCAAACAAGTGACATTTGGGAACCATCTCCATGGCGTTCTGTATGTATTCCATGGCCACTTTATTCTTTACATTTTTTTTTGAGACTGAGTCTCACTCTGTCGCCCAGGCTGGAGCGCAGTGGTGCGGTCCAGCTCACTGCAACCTCCACCTTCTGGGTTTGAGCAATTCTCCTGCCTCAGCCTCCTCTGTAGCTGGGATTACAGGTGCGCACCACCACGCCTGGCTAATTTTTTGCATTTTTGGTAGAGATGGGGTTTTACCATGTTGGCCAGACTGGTTTCAGACTCTTGACATCAAGTGATCCACGGGCCTTGGGCTCCCAGAACGCTGGAATTAACAGGCGTGAGCCGCCATGTCCAGTTCATTTTCATTGCTTCTGATAACTGCTCCACCCAGCTCACCTACTGAAACGGAACCTCTGCCCCTTCTGTTCTCTGCAGGAACTGGTGAGGCATGGGCGGAGGCATCAGCAAGACCCTTTGAAACGCCTCCTTCCCAGGGAGTGTGTTCTGGTCATTCTAAGCAACAGGACAGCAGTGGCAAGGACACGAGGCCATGGAAACAAGCCCAGAACTAACAAGGCTGCACCAGGTCACAGATCATGAGACAGAATATGAGAGAGAGAGAGAGAGAGAGAGACACTTTACCGTGTACTGCTCCTGGTGATGTGGCATCGGAAGGAGAGACAGATCGTAAGCGGCCTCAGAAGAAAGAACACAGAACACGCACGTACACACGCACCCCTGAGCACCACTGAGTCCTGCCCGGGGAGCAGTGGGGGCAGCCTCAGGCTCATGGCGCTGGCCGGTGTCCATCCTTCCGTCTGGAAGCCGCCCCTACCTCCGTTCAGTCCCCCACCCTTGGCAGGCCCCCGGCACTGCCAACAGCACCCAAGAAAGCCAAATTTCCAAGTAGCTGGACAGCTGCGAAGCTGTCAGTTACCAAAGGCGAATTCGCCGCGGAAAGTCACTGCCAAGAGCCGGAGAAATCGCTCTTCTCCAGGAGTTGCGGAGCTGCAAGGTTTTAAAATGTCTTAAAGGTTGTGAACTTTGAAGT